AAATGGTGTCAAGTTTAGATTAGTAGCAGGTCATGACATGACAGCAGTACTTAAAGCCTCAAGGGAAGCTTCGCAAAGTGTTGTGTTTACAGATTGTTCTGTCAAAGTACTTCAGATTGTCACTACATCTCTGGTTTTGCGGCCAGAGATATTTGCATGGATACGAGCCCTCCTGGTTTGTGGATGCCACTGTTGCTTCACGGAGCCACAGCGAATGCTGGAGCCCTGTTAAAGGGCATGGATTTACCAGAGCGTGCGGGGTGGCGAAGGACACCTGAAGGTTGGATGCACTTTGGTGTTCCCGGTTGTGTTTAACTACTGTCAAATGTGATAATCACAGCACGGGAGAGCCTTCTGCCAGGCTTCCTCGGGCTTCTGAGAGGAGGGAGCAGAGCATTTCATTTCGAATAGTCAAGCGAGCGTCAAAGCTGTTACCTGAGGCAAAACTGGAATGGAAGGATAACATTTTAATCGTCTGACAGGCAGTGGATTTAGGCTTTTATTCAGCAAAGCACATGAAGTCTGTTGGCTTCATTGGGAGTGCGATATTTAAACCTAAGCATATGCTTGGGTTTGTTTCGAGGTTTCCAAGCAAGGCCCTCAGGGAAGGCAGTTCTCACCTTCCCTGCCTGAGAGGGGAAAAGGCATTAGGCTCTGTGCCTAAAGAAATCAGGGCACTTTATTTGCTACATCTTATTAGCATAAAAAGCAAGGAAAAATAACACCAAAACTGTGAGGAAGGGACCAGGGCAAAGGGGTCTCTTCTGCACAGCTCTACCGGAGTAAGCAGTGTCCCATCTCCTGGGCAAGGGGAGGAAGGGACTGGGTCCCCCGTCCGCGTTCCCTCGCTGCTCGATGGGGTTTCTCTGTCCTCCCTCTGGGCCGTGCAGGCAGATGAGCAAGGATTTCATGCACTTGCAAGGGAAGTTATTGCTGATTCATCAGTAACTGGCTCTTCTCCAGCCCCCAATCATCTCCTGAGGTGGGAGAGGTCAAACCTAGCTCAACGGTACTTAATGTAGCGTGTGCATGTTTTTATCGTGTGGCGACTTCTGCATCCTCAGCATAGTTGCCTTCAGATAAAGCAGCTTTCATCGTTTTGTGGAACTTGTAAGAGCCACAGCATGTTTTTGTAACTACGATTTAATTTTCATGTTTTTTTAGTTTTCTGACTCATAGTCCTTTCCACCAGAAACATAAAATGATTCATATACTCAAGCACTTAACTCCTTTTACATTTGTAAATGGCACTTCATGCATGCTTAATGAGGGTATTCCAAGCCACTAAAACCATAATTTGCTTATGGTACATGATAAGGTTTGAATCCTGCGAAGACTTATGTAAATACTTTCAAGTTCATTGTAGGTTTTTGCAAATGGTGATTTAGAGCCAGAATGTCTGCTGGCTTAGCCTCAGTGGGTCTTTGTGGCCCACATAAGCTCTGACACAGCACCTGGGAAGAGAGAATGAGAAAGAAAGATGGAATTGGTGCTATAAATCTGACAGAAAGAAAAGAACGCCGAAGAGGCTCTTTTATTGCTTTCACGGGGTAAGATTTGAATATTAAAGTACATTAGAAAAAGGAGATGGAAAGAGAAGATGAAAAACATTTTTTTTCTTTCACTCTGCTTCAGAATTTCTAAAATTAAACTCACAGTGTCTTTATTATTTTTATTGGAAGATATAAGGGAAAAATCCCTTTGCTGGATAATTCAAAGCTCGGATAGATTTATTTAGTCTCAAAATATACAATAGTAGCTAGCACTGCACTTTAAAAATGCTATTGCACTGTTACTCAGGCAATGCACACATTTTATGATTTTCTTTTTTAAAATGGAATCAAATAATTTATGATGCTGGGTTTTTAATCTCTTAATCCAGGCTTTTTCTCCCAGATCATTCAAGAACCACTCCAGATTATTCAGTGTCACCCCCCCACACCTTTGCCATTTGTCTAACACATAGAATTCTAAAAGCAGTAAAATCTTCTAATTTGAGTTGAAATTTAATAAATCATAGATACATTTTGGAGGCACAGTTTATGTTCTGAGAATCAGATTTCTGAAAATGTCAAAAGGCATTTTTTTTCTGGTCCATAAAGTAGTGTTGTTTGTGGGCAGCTGTTCGTTTTCAGATGTTTTATTGCTTTGTCTTATTCTATGTTATTTTCACTTTGTTGTTGTGGAAAAGGATTTTTTGGTTACAATCTTCCTCTTCTTTCTTGCATCATATGGCAAAATTCTCTCCTTCATCCTCACTCAATCTCCAATAATTTAAAAAAAAAAGAGAAAAGTTAATAAGCTTCTGCTTCAGGCGTGATTTATAGCTCATTAATGTCAGTGAAAGAGAAGAGCTGAAGCAATGCTATTAGTTAGGAAAGGACCGTGAATTCCAGTTTCTGCAAAGCTTGACGCGTGTCACGTGTGGAAGAGGCTTGGCTTTTCACCATCAGAGCTGGTTTCTATTTGCAGATGTTGTCACCAGGAAATGGCACCAGCCCTGACTCTGCTTCGGGAAGTGGGTCCCAGTGCTCCCTCGCTCACCACACTGATGTCCACACAACATTCCATTAAAAGGAGCAGGAGCATTGCTGGTCTTTCCAGAAGATGCAAAGAGAGCTAAAGCCTCCAATTTGTTTATACCTTTTGATGCCTTTCCAGTGATGTTGTGGATAATTATGGTTTGCACTCCTGGCACTGCTGCATTCAGGTGTGTCCTGATCTCTCCCAGGACAATACTTATTTCAGAGAGAGGCAATTTAGGAAGAAACAGTGTGTTCCTGAAAAGAAGCTGCTCTGGATGATCTGAGGTACCATTCAGGTTTCAAATAGATTATGAGGATATATTCTAAGATGCCAGGGGAAGATCTGTGATCCCCCTTGAGGGAAAATGATGGGCTCCTGAAAAATGGGCTGAATGAGCAGGGAGCTTTTCAGGGATGAGCACCTCTATGATGCTCTTCTATTTCAGTTTGCACAAGAAAGAGCTGTAGGCAGTTTTGTAATATCTAGCCTGTGGCACTTTCTTGGTGGCTTGTCCCTCTGTGCTCTGTGGTCTTCATTCCTCTCACATTTGGCTTGGCTGTCTCTGTTGGGAGCTGATGGTGCACTTCTTTGCAATGTCTCACCATGTGTTTATTTAGGGGTTACATGGCATTTAGGTAGAATCTTTCAATATTAAAAATGTGTTTTAGCAATTTACATAAGCTACTAGATTGGCTTCAAGGCTACTTTTGTCTTCAGAGCTGACCACCAAGAAGGAAAAAAATGCTTCTGCTGGGCTCAGCTTTCCCATAATAGGGAAGGAGATCTTTGGCCAGCAATATGAAATTTTATATGAAGCACAAAATGAATGCCAAGTTTGGGGTTTTGCCTCCATTAAGAGTATTTTGAGACTGAATGCTTGAACCATGGCCTTCTTTGGTAGCCCCTGAAGGAATCCTAGAAAGTCCAGGGACACAGCCTATAAGAGCTGCATCTTAGAGTTATATTCAGTGGCATTTTGCTTCTCAAAGAGAACCCTGTTATGGAAAGGATTTAATTGGCAGGGGAAATAATATGTTTTTACCTCGATTCACTCAGTTGTTGCATTTTAGCCAGAGATGCATGGTCAGTTGAGTTTGGTATGAGTTAGTGCTGCCACCTGGAACAGGCACGGGAATTTTTTTCCAGCCTTGCCCCCCTGAGCCACCCAGTCCTGGTCTCTGCTGTGCCAGAACACAAGCTCATGCTGCAGTACTGGTGGTAGTGGCTGGGTGGCACACAAAAGGCTGTCAAGGAAACAGTGTTACGTGGAGAAAATTAAAGACAGTAAGAACCAGCCTTCACCATGCAAAACTTTGCAAGTGAAGTTGACTGAAACAGGTACAGCTGTGAGAAACAATGAAGACATATCTCCTGCTCGTTGGCACAGCAATAAAACTAAGGGAGGGCATGGAACATGTCCTGGAGCATGGCAGAGCTCTCCATTGGTTTCCATATCGAGATATAATTCTCTCTTTAGCCCATTGCCTTGGAAATCTTGAGGAACTGCTCTTTTTCATACAGCCATTGCAGTTCCTCCTTTTTTAAAATCAGTTAATCTGTGCATTACCTCCATCCTGCCTTGATGCTCTTCTGCCTCACAGAGCAAGAGTTAAGAGCCTTGTCTTTTGACCCTTTCCCTTTCAAGTGCCTGCACACTTGTTTCACTGACCAAAAATCTGGCACATCAAAATCACATAAAATGAGGCTGTCATTGGGATTTGTTACAAAGGTACAAAGCAGGCAGCAGATGTGCCAAAAGGTGCTGAACCATCACCCTTTTTGGCAACCATGACTTGACAGGCTTGGCTTCAGGCTGGGTAAAAATACAGTCTAGATATATGCCTGGGTAAAACTAGGCTGGATTGACTGTTGATAGCTCAGAGATTTCTGGATCTGACAAGTAAGATGTCCAGAAGTCACAATAGTAAGTCAGGCTCCTACAGCAAGAGCTTCCCTTAAGGGGAGCTGCAGGATTCACCTGCACTGAGCTCGTGGAATGTGCAAGCATTTGCAGAAGCTAGTATAAATAAAATCCCTGTCAGAAAGAGCATGTTAAGAATTACTAGAAATATAATGTTTCTGGATTCTTTTAAGTGTCTGCACTCAGTAACCCAGTTCCCAAAAGTGAGCTGTAACCAGGGCTTATTAACTTTGTGGTTGCCTTGGAAGCCCACCATCTCATCCTGACCCCTCTCATGCTTTGATGCTCAGAGGGCTGGAAGTTAGGCAGTAATTTCAGCCTCCCCCATTGCTGTTGATACAGAAAGTATTTTATATGCTAGGCTCAGGCAGCAATGCAAGACTGCTGGCATAAAAAAATAAATATCCCTACATTAAAGTAAAGGCTGTGTTAGGTACAGTTGTGCCATGTTTTTCTATTTAAGTAAACATCAGGTTGGGCCTTGAATTTCTGAGCACAGCAAGGAATGTTTTGGAAAGTGGAAATTGCATTATGGCTTCTGTTTCCTTTCCAGGGAAGCATGTGAAGCACATTACAGAGCGAGGGAAGGTCATGACTGCAGGGAACAGGATGTCTGAGAGGGAAAGGTGGGGCGAGAGGAGCTGCTGCAAAACAAGGACAGAGAAGCAGCAGGAGAGCATGAGGGTGAAAAGTGGTAACTGGAAACCTTGCAATACTTTAATCCGAATTCTTTCACATAAAAGGTCAAAAAAAGAACTTCCCCTGCATTGCTTATGTATTTCTGACTTTTTTTTTAATCTCTTGTTTTAATTCAAATCAGCATTGTTGGGTTGGGTTTTTTCAGATTCTGGCAATGTTCTGAAATTTTGGAACTGCCAGACAGATAGACTCAGGGTTTCAAAGCCAGCATCTGCATGTGTGCACATGTTGGTCTGATGAAAATGCTGGACAGGCTGGGACGGATCAAAATGTATTTGCTTAGCTGTGATCAATTAACACTGCTGTATATTAAGTGTTGTGCTTGCTATATTTCAGTGTGCTCCCCCCAGCTCTGTTTCATGCATCATTCCCTCTGTCCGTAAAACTGTTTCTGGACCAGGCCTGCACTGAGTCATAAACAGGGTGGAAGCGATGGCATCCCTCCCTCTAACCCCTCTGTCTAGGGGTGCAGGAGGATCTCAGGCAGGGGGAGCAGCTAGAGCAAGAGCTCACTTTCTATATGCTCCTTTTACTGTGGCAGCTACCATGGCCTTTCCAGGATTGCTTATTTGAAGCGCTTTTGCAGCACTGCTGGCCAAGCAGCACCTCTGGCTGGGGAGTGTTGGGGAGAGCAGCGTATGGTTTGGCATAGAGGAAGCAAGCATAAAATGTGTACGTATTTTTCAAAAGGCAAATTGTCTGAAAAGTCTGTCTGACGATAGCCCAAACCAGAACAAGCTGTAATTACATATCCTTTGGGTTCACAGTTAATATGATATTTCTCTCTGGTTTTGCAAGTGTGCCACAGTTACGCTTCAGTGGCTCGGCAGCCTTTTAACAAGCTGTAGAAGGTACCCTGTTGCTCAGGCCCTGGCAGTACTGAAAGGCAGCATATCCTTTAACCCTGTGCAAGATTATGTAGCTTAACAACATGGAGCAATCTCAGAGTGGTGACCTGTCCGCAGGGAGCTGGGAGAAGGGAGGCTTACCCACTACCTTTTCATTGTACAGCTGCTACTCAGGGTATTTTGGTGCTTGAGTTAATAGTCCTGCAAATGTAACAAGGTAAGAGGGAATGGCACGGAGGAATCTATTTGGAAGGAATGAGACATTTACAGCACACCTTAAATACAGGAAAATAAGGAGTGAAACAAGGGAAATACTGTCCAAGTACAGTCTGTACCCAGTTTTAACATAGGCAGACGGGATTTGTTTACGGAAGCAGACAATCATCACCTTCCTCCCTATGGTAAAAAGTGTATTTTAAAAAAGTACTAGTTGGAATTTTGTGTAAGTACACCTTGCAAAGTAGAACCTCAAAGACAAGCCTGGTCCGTTTGAGTTCCCACTCTGTAAACTAATCACTTGATTTAAAACGGGAGGCAGCAGCTCTCTTGACTACTTAACTGATTTCCAATTTGCGTGGCTTTACAGTCCACTCTACCCTGCTGTCTGTATTCCAGGGCTGTAAAACTGTGGTAAGAAGGCTGCTAGCTCAGCCCTGGGGTACCCAGCTGACTCAGCCACTCCTCCATCAGCTTTTGCTGTGAGGTTCTCCAAGGTACCCGAACTGTAAAGCCAAAATGCCCTGGATAGCAAAGCCAGTCTCTTACAGGATCACTCACTAGAGGGTTTTGTCCTTATGAAAATAAAGGGACAACTGTGGGGAGGGACCAACCCTCCAGAACAGGCCTGCCTGCTCTGGTGGAGGCAGGAGGAAATGGCACGTGACCCTGCTGCAGTTCTGCTGTCGGTCCAAGTAACCCAGGGTTTGCCAACCAAATCAAATAAATAGCCCAACATCGCCTCTCTCCAAATCACATCAAGTCTGATTAAGAGTCCAAGGAGTACTTTTTCCCAAACATGAATGGCTGGATCGGAATATCAAAGATCATCGATTTTTTTTGTGTTTTATTTTATCTCAGAGAATGAGTTTAAAAAAATCCCTTATCAGCTTCTTTTTGAATGCCTGAAAGGGGAAAAAAAAATAAAGGGCATTTATTAATATTAGCAGTAGTATTCCAAAGTGCATTGCATGCATTGTTATTAATATTATCCTAGAGATGCAGTGCCAGCAAATCATAGATACAGAGTTGGCAATAAATTAATTGGAGAACTAATAAAGTACTGGAAATTAGGAAAGATGATGAGATGGAAGAGATCAGCTGAGCAAAGAGAAGACTGAGAATGGCGTGTCTTCGTTGCAGTTATATGGTAATGAATATAGCGAAGGCAGAGTGGGAATACTGATCCTCATATGCTTCTCACAACTTGCCATGCTCGATCAGATTGCTGTAAAATTGCTAACGTGAGCAATTACAGGATGAAAAGTCCTTTATGCCAAAATAAATGCAGAGCACTGCCCCCTCTGCAATGATAGTTTCTAAATTGATACAATATTATAGAGTGAGCTGAGCTTTGGCAAAACTAGTGGCTCAAGCTCACCTGTGCTAGTTTGAGCCTGTGTCCTCCAGTAGAGGATATGAGTCCAGGCACTGTGTCAGAAAATCCAGGGCCTGTAAATACTACATAATGCATCCAGGGGAAAATAACCCAAACTCCCACATGACTTGGTGGGCTCTGGGCAGACATTACCTCCCAGAAATGAGACTTGGTACTGTGGTAAATAGTACCATAAAACCTTAGTTTCCCACTGTTTGATAGCCAAGGGAAAAATAAATCTAATATTGTGGATTATTTAGGAAGGAAATAGTGAAGAATACAACAAATGTTACTGTGCAGCTCTGCAGCTCTCAGAAAACAACAGAAGAGGTTGAGAAAAAGCGCAAGGAGGGGTGGCAGGGGTGATCAAGGCATGAAGAGGTCCCTCTGTAGGCAGAACAGCCAAGAGATACTGGGCTCCTGCAGGACATGGAAGAGTTGGCTGCCGGGGGGGGATGCTAAAGGTCTGTAAAACCATGGACTATTCAGAAGGAAGGGTTTGCTGGTGGGTGACGAGCTGGAGGCTGGGAGCTTCACGTGAAACTATTGGGCATTCAGTTCAGAATAGTCCAGAGGGGACAGTTTGTCAGATACACAGTAGTTTTAGACAGACAGAGGGCATGTTTATATTAGATATTAGGAAGAAGTTCTTTACTCAGGGGGTGGTGAAGCACTGGCACAGTATGCCCACAGAAGCTGTGGATGCCCCATGCCTGAACATGTTCAAGGCCAGGTTGGACAAGGCTTGGAGCAACCTGGTCTGCTGTAAGGTGTCCCTGCCCACAGCAGGGCGTTTGGAACGCGATGATCTTTAAGGTCCCTTCCAGCCCTAAGTTGGGGAACTCTTTGCCGTGTGAGGCTGTGGATGCTAAAATTTGCATGAGTTTAGGATGAGGCTGGACAGATTTGCAGAGAAGAAATCCAGTAAGTTAAAAATGAAACCAACCTGTCTGTGTCAGAAAGTTGCTGAGGAAGCAACTCTTTGGAGAAGGCCGGGAGAGAATATTTTCTCTCTTTTTTAAGCTTCATGCCATACCACGTGTGAAGTTAGGGCAGAACCCAAGGAGCAGAAGTGGAGGCCGATGGACTACAAAGTCCCTGCCATACAACAGTGCAGGCCATGTACAGCTGGTTCCCAGATTTGGGCAATGCATTTAAAAATTGACTCCTATTCAGCAATCATGCTTCCTTCAGGAAACGCTAATCTATTGAGCCGTAAGATTTTTAGGCCTCCAAGACCCGCTGTCCCCAAAGTGGAGATGACTGCAGAGACAGTATTTGTCTTGAGCAAGTCCAACATCCACTTTACTTGTCTAACTTCCAAAGGAGTAGTATTCTAGAGGGGGAAGGGACACTAAATGAACTCCATTCTCACAAATAAGGACCTGAAGGAGCAGGACTGCTCTTCAATCTCTCTCCTCCAGTCATCTCAACCCTTGCCATCGCAGGCTGGAGCAACCTCTGGTGATGTCTCTGGTACTTGTAAAACACCCAAGTTACTGACTCCAAGAGCAGTGAGAGCCCAGCCTGGCTCCAGTAGTGCCAAGGCCTGGATGCCACCCAGCAAAAGGTCTGGGCCGCTGCACAGGGTTCCACTGGGCCAGAAATGTTAAGCCGGGAATGAGATTTAGAGTCTTTACAATGAAATGTTGCTGAAAACAGGTAGAAAGCATTTTCTTTAAATATCTGATTTTTATCTCAACAATGTCTCCTGACATTCCCACAGCTTTAAAATTAGTTTTCCCCCTCTCCATCTTTACTTTTCCATGCACTGTGTTCTGTGGCAATCCTCTTCACTGGCTTTGCTTCTGTGAAGGTCTTCGCATAATGTTTTCCTTCAAATTGTTCAATTTCAAAGTTTTCCCTTTTTTTCAAACTTGCTGTTCTCTATGACTCTGTTGTGTGGGTTTTAGGTCTTCTTTTGCTTTCCAGTGTCCTTTTTCTCTTAGGCACTTTCCCTTGAACAGCTGTACAGTAACGTTAGCACAAAAACCCACTGTATCCCTTTGTGTCTCTATACAGAAGTCTAAAATATCAGGGAGAGAAAGAGGGATAAAGCAAACAGGTTTTAATATAAAATAAGGGATATTTACTTATAGGATATTTATTTTCAAAAATCCCATAACTGGGCAAAGAGAAACCTCACCATTTCATAATAAATACACACTTATTTTTCTTCATACATTCTAAGCATACCACAGGCTTTCCACAAAAAGAAGAACATTTATTTCTGTGCTGTATGCCCAGGACAGCTACTGCATGACCATTGTCCTGCCAGGATTTGGTGCCGAGAAGGTGCAGCCTGATGTGTGGAGTCAGACTGCTCCTGGTTTCGCTGGAGGCCATTGTGAGGGGCTGCAGGTCTCTGAATCAGGGTGGGTTTACATTTTGACTCATTGTCAGAGACTGGCATAGTGTTATATATGTGTTCTGTTATATACATATGCGAGAGTACATCTCCCTAAGTCCTCTCAAACAGGTCCTTTTCAAGTCAAACCCTTGATTCCTGGAACAGTTTCATGTGCGTGGCACTGGGTCTGATCTGAAGCCCACAGGACCCATGAGCACCTCTATCCTGGTACTCAGTCAGGCTGTAACTGGATTTTAAAAGTGACCTATATCTTTTGCTCTGTCTCTCAGGCTCTCTTTGCGTAACCATCCATAGGTGGTCTAAATTTACCACTGCAGTGTGAAAACCTGAATCCACAGGCAGAAGTGGGTCTGCCTATTTAAACCGCTTTTTGTCCTGATTTCAGAACTGTGAGCAAGACTTGCACTTGCCAGTTTTGTCAGCAAAGTTCAGCTGGTGAATATTTTCTTTGGTGACCATTTTTGTTTCTGGTTCATGGCTATGCCAGCAGGAGCTATGGTGGGGACCAGCAAAAGAATACCTTAGAATTCCTTGTTTTACTTACTGACCTGGATTTGCTAGGCTGGCAGAAGTAGCTTTTGCTTTTCAGTATAGTTCTGTTCAGGCTGAGGGGCCTTCAGATGCAGACAGATGCAGAGGGACTTTCTACAGCTGTCTTGCCCATGAAGAGTGCAGCACATCTCTCAGGGCAGATGTCATGTGGCATCTGGCTGACCACTTCTGGAGCAAACAGGATACCTTTGCTTTTGGAGACAGCTGACACAAACGGTTTAAAACTGTGTTTAAAATGGGCTTTGTTAATCCAGAAATCTTAATCTAGCACTGGGAAGGTAACATGTGCTGCGTGTTACCCACTTCTGTGAGTTTTTATGATGGAGGTTGAGTTTTCCTCAGGGTACAGCTGATTGAAAGTGCAAGAAACTGTTGTTTTCTGGGATTTGAGAAGATCAGCCAGGCAGAGTGTCCCAGGGATGCAGGAGCATGCCCAGGATGCATGGGCAGCAGTGGACCATGAACAGAACAGAAGTGCAATTCAGGACAGGAGGCCAGTGGTCAGCAGTGGCTGGTTCTGCTGCTGGGAATCCACCTGGGAGAGGGATTATTTCAGTGTAAGCGAGATCCCTGCAACTCTGGGATGCAGAGCTCACATAATTCATCCACTAAGGGGGTGGAGCAAAAGCAGTAGCTAATCACTGCTGTTTATAATAGAGATGCTGTGATTTTTTAATTGTGGTATTATTAGAAAACCTTCTGGAATGGAGAGAGTATTGTCTTAAAATGTCTCCTGAATCAAACTGTTGTCTCATATGGCAGTTTCTCTCAAGGTAGTGATAATGTTCCCAGAGAGAGCAGGATGGGAAAACTGGAAGTCTCTTGGTCACATCTTCCAAGAGCATCATACTTCCTTTTTGTTAGATGCAAGCAATTGTAGATGTGCTCCTCAGTTACTCATGGTGGTTAATACCAAAGCACTTTAGCACATCAGTGTTTTGAGCTACTGGTTTTATGGCCAGGTGTTTGCTGTCATGATTAAGCTTTTGTAAAATAGGTCTTTATATATTCTACAAAATATTAACCGGTTTGCTCTCCCTGCACACTCTTCATTCATTGCTTTGTAACAGCAGAGAACAATTTAGCTCCCTGGAAGTGTATTTCAATAAGACAGCAAGTAGTCTGTGTTTACTTATGCTGTACAATTCAGTGATTGTACTGCAAATCTTGGCCAAGTTCCTGAATATTTGGGGCCTAAAAACAAACTCTTAAATTCATATTTAGGCTCCTACACAAAAGGTCTTGTTTTTCAGCTATTGAGTCCGTCCTGACTCTTGCTGAGTGTTTGGAAGCCAACGGGCTATCAGCATTTTGAAAATTGGGCCTGCTGTGTGTTTCCATGCCTGTATGGGGGAGCTAAGCTATGGTTTAGACTCCTTTTAATGTTTTTAGTATTGCAGAGCCTGTTTTATTCTATAGATTGCAATAATTCCTACTGGAGCTTATTCACATTCACAAACTATCAGTTTGGATTGATTAAATATCCAGTGAAAAGGTTGCCAGCAAGGTTGCTATTGGAAAACTTTGCTGGGAGATGAAGAGATGCACAGAGTAGGAATATTTCTGGCAAGTCACTGGGCTTTTTTCATAAAAGGGTAGGCTGTAAATACCATCTTTCATGTAACATATGGTTCACTGCCTGTGGCTGACAACAAACCTGAGTGAAGTAGGGTTCATCAGAAAGGCTGATTTTGCCCTCAGTATTCCTGGGAGCTCTTCAGTACCTCTTGGTGAGGTTTTTCTCCAATGTGTCAGTGCACTAAGGCTTTCTTTCCTTTCTCTAAGTTATAATTTCAAGGAAAGTCTGATTCATTACTTCAGGGGCTGAGCTAAATTTCCTTTGGACCATTTTAAAAGAAATCATATAAGCCTCAAATATTTGTACTGGCTGCAGTGGCAGATGTGTGAAAGAGTGGGCATTTGCTTTGCTTCATGCCACTCATCCTGGAGAAGAGGAGGCTCTCCTTAATCTGTGGGCTTAGAAGCACAACAGAAGGACTTTTTGACCTAAGATGAAACAATGACAGTATTCCTGTGGAAGCACAGCATGCACATGGATGCTTCTGGAATATATTACTGGGGATAACTTGCGCTTTCTTTTCAAAAGAATATCATACCAATGCCTTAGAGGGAAAAAAAGTCTTGTGTGATGAGGGGAAAGGGAAGGAATTATTCTTGATAGTATTTAGAAGTAGTTGAATTCAAATGGCCCTGGAATGGGAGGATTTAATATATGGTAAATCAGCAGAGTGATCTGGCACAATTGCAAAGGCAACTTCGGAAGTGTTTCTCATTTTGGTCTCTGAGATCATTCACCATTGCTATTCACATGCCCTGATGGATCAAAATTTGCAACATTTTCAGTTGTCAGTATACATTTATTTTCTTAAATATGGGCTGTTCCTGAGAAAAAAAATTTGTTTTGTAAACGTTATTTGGCTGAGACTGACTGCATGTTTCCATTCCTCTTCCAGAGGCACAGCAATAGCTGGAATTGTTTTTGGCATAGTGTTTATAATGGGAGTGATAGCTGGGATTGCCATCTGTATCTGCATGTGCATGAAGAGCAACCGTGGGACTCGAGTAGGGGTCATCCGGACCACGCACATCAACACCATCAGCACGTACCCAGGTAAGAGGGCAATGTGACAGCCCTGCAAGAGTGCCTGTGGTCACGGCAGGAGTGTTGTCTTTGGGTGCTTACAGCTCCACACTAAGCGAGGGAGGTGACTACAGCAGGAGGCTCTTCTCTGTCCGGAGGGGGACGGCACAGCTCCCTGCTGAGAAACGCAGGACGGCTCCATGTGCACAGTGTCTGTCAGTGCATCACTCTGCCCGAGCTGATTTATTCAACTGCTCAGTGGGCTAATGAGGTCTGGCCAGGTGCCACACTCACACAGCTGTGTGCCTTGCGGTGCCTGCAGGAGCGTGTTGAGTCCTCGCTCAGGGCAGTGCTGCACTGTGCAGGACAGACCTCCCTGAGCCAGAGGCTCTCTGGCAACAGATCAGTTGTTCTTCTTTTGTGATCTGGTTCTTGTATTTATTCTTGTTCATGTGTAGCCAGCTCCTTTCCATTGTCCAATATAAAGGGGGCCCGGCACACCACAGAGAGGGGAAAACCTGGACAATAAGGTCTGTGGGTCAGAGTGCAAAGGCTTAAAGCGATGATGTGGGGTCTCATGCAACCTGACCTGGCTGGTACTTGGCCAGAGCTCATGAGCCGTGCTGGGTGCTGCAGGATCCCCCATGACTTCTGCAAAGGCACACGGGCGTCTCTGCAGGGTGTTCTGTGCTGTGTGTCCCAGGAGGGACTGCTGGCTGGGATGCAGGGCTGGATCCAAGTAGCTCTCTGTATCTGCCTGGCACCATGCCTAAACTGAACTGATAGGAATTTGGAGAGTGGTCATAGATCTCAGAATGGCTTGGGTTGGAATGGACTTTAGAGATCTTCTGGTTCCAACCCCCTGCCACAGGCAGGGACATGGTACAGAGGTGCCTTGGTCAAAGTTGGCTGAGTATTGGAGTTCTCAGTTCAGTCTTCTCTGTGGGTTCACACTGTTTTGATGGGATGGCACAGGCAGCAGCAGGCGAGGCGCAGAGCCTAAGCCAGGTCTGGCACTGAGCTGATAAGCTGTCACAGGCTCTGGGGCACCCCAGAGGACAGCAGGGACCCCTCGTGGGTCTGATGCAGTGCAGTTCTGTCTGTAATGAGTGCGAGCTGGTACATCAGGCTGTATCTGAGCCAGCTCTGATGCAGAGCCACCCACTGCACCACACTTGTCAACTCACACCAGTCTGGAACTGGGGAACAGGAGCACCAAAAGAGGTGGCACTGAGCCAGCTGGGGTCTGCAAGGCTCATTTGTCTGGACTCCCCACCTAGCACATGAAAGTGACTGCATTGTTGAAGAGCAAAGCAGACCCTGGAAGCAGTATAATGATGTTTATGCAATTCAGTGACATTGTTAATTATAAATCCAGAAGCGATTGCCTTGGGATAACTCTGAGAGTTCACAGTAATAAAATGCAAAGGTGTTTCACGCATGAAGTCCCCTCATCCCACTCTTAGAGATTCCCTGCCTTTATATTCCCTCCTGTTGCAAAGGTTGCAGCAAACCCCAAGTGTATTATGTATACTTATAGGCAAGCTATGCAATATTTATTATGTATTCCTTTATCACACTTACCAGTCTTAGTGTCTGTTTTCTCCCTCATGCTCTTACTTTCCAGTTGAACTGAAAACCTCTATAATCATCTTTGTAATTGCAACATTGTTTTGCATAGAGACATGTGAAATGACAGAAAACAGCAATATTCTCAACCATGTATTGCTGAAGACCTACTTCAGAAACTCATAGTCGCTGCAAGCTGTAAAAACAAGAGCAAACTGAAAACTCCAGGGTTCTAGCCTTTTCCTCCCCAAGTCTGCTCCTGCAATGACTCACCCTTATCTCTCCACCTCCAGGCAGTTTGACTCCACACGCTCCCAGTTTCTGGTGCAAACATTAGTTCGAGCAGTTCTTCCTCTCAGCAGCAGCAGCAGATTTTAGAGAATGGGGAAGCTCTGAAATGATTTTTGTGTTCCCCGCTGTCATGAACACTTTTGGAATAATGACTGATCTGGCTTTGGCTGAAGGGCTTGTGACCAACCCTCCCTCTGTTTTGGCCTCAGCCACAGCAACAGCCCAGTTTTGTGAGAGCAGGGCGTGCTTTCCATGGCACACTGGGATTTGAGTCTCTTCCCCCCATCACAAACATCCTGAGTTTCTGTTTTCTCTCTATGCAAGTGCTACTTCACTGCCGGTCTGCCTGACACATCTAGGGAGGGAACAGGAAAGCATCCATGGTGACATAAATGGAGACATGAGCAGACTTAGGACCTTAACAGTGACATGGTCACATGAGAGACTACTCTAATGGGATGTTGACACGGGAGCCTGCTGTTTCTACCATGCTGTCATTCTGCAGCATTTACTGTCTTTTGTCACTGAATGGATCTGTCTTCTCTAAGGTGAATAGAAGTAGTTGAGAAAATGTTTTCAGCTGCTTGTGAATATTTTTGTTGTCTCCTAAACGCCTGACCCAGTTTACAAATGCTGGGCTCTCCTCAGATGTCTCCATGGGTATGAACGAGGGGAAAGCTTTGTTCTTCCTCAGCCCAAGCCATGGTGGGATGTACGGTATTTGCCCTGGGGGGTGAGATGCTGCTGTGCTTGCCGTGGTGTGGAATGTCACACATCTCCTGGGGATCCAGAGGGTGTTTAAGAGGTCTGTGGAAATCAAGAGCCCTGGCTGCCCTGTCATTTTGGGACAGCGTAAATTCCATGTTGCTGCTGAAGGAGGTGGAAGGGAGTGGATCTGGTAAACACCCAGCCTTCTTCCCATGGTGACATCTGCTGCACAGACATTCAAACACTGCTACCAGCATAGCGTGTTGGTGGCACATGGCTAAGAAGGGAAGGAAAGGGCAAAAAGCAAAGACTCACATTGATGTGAAGTGACTGTATAAGGGCAGCCTGAAAAACAACTGAGTGCATTGCCAGGAGATTTTGTATCAGTTGTGTGGAAATCTGGATGTCAACAAGGAAATACTTGAGGCCTGCATCTGAAAAACAGATTTTTAACTATGTCTTTTTTTTCTCCCATTTCAGTGGCTCCACCACCATACAGTTATGAATTCGAAATGGAGTACCCAGCTGACCTACCTCCACCTTATACTCCAACCCCACAGACTTCAATACAGTATCCCCCACCCCCTCCATACCCTGGATATTCAGGGAAATAATTATATGTCTTCACATGGATATTGAGTGCCTATTGCAACAGCCAGCACTGTTGGGACAGTGTTACCGGCTCAGGGACAAGTAGGGTGGGGTGTGCATCAACACATATGGCCCAGCATTGGAATAAACTGGAAAGGTTGCCATAGCTCAGGATGAAGAAGAATCCTGTCCATTATGGACCGTCATGTTTCGTGATTAAACAATACATGACCAAAGAAACAGTTCCTGTAAGTTGGTGTCTGCTGAGTGGTGCTCAGCATCAGTCTTATCTTCAGCTGCAGCACGTGGGAGTGGGGCTTTCCCTGTGTGGGAACGTGCAAGTGGTGCAAATGGTTCAGCAAGCTGTTTCAAAACCACAAGAGCCAGCTGCTGGGGCTTATTTCGGGGCAAAAACTCCAACTATTGTCTTGAAGTAACCACTATGCCTTTCTTGAAACAACGGGAATAAGGAAGAACAAGGAATACTGAAGCTGTTTTCATTTTCCACTTCCAGCTGATAATAGCCAATGATCACTGTGCTTATTGGTCTGATAAGCATGTTCCAAAGAGAAGTGCTGTTGGAGTTATGCAGTAACTAAAAAAAGAGGGGTATTATTTTTGGCCAAGTGCAGGTTGTTTAAATTGCCAGCAGTTTGAGACTAGTTTGTAAACTAAAGTGTTAACATAAAGAGCATTTTTGTATGTGAAATACACTAATTTATAGCTGATTTACTTTTGCCTGGACTTAATTGGAAATATCCTACAGTGCCTTTTTTATCAGCAAATGATACTTGGATTTTATTATAAAAATACTGAATTGGCAAAACTCACAAGCGATAGAAGAAATGCAAACCAAATATTAAAACATCTCAGGTTTGTCTTCAGTTGGATTGCATAAAGGCTTTTTTTTTTAAAAATCATACTGTTTACCTGTAGTAAGGATATTCAGCCTGACCAAAGAGATGAGCACAGAGACTGTGAGGATCATGTTACTTTTGAATGTTGTGTTAGGCATTTTAAAAATCTAGGTCACTAAGTAATACTTTTTGCATTTGTCATGCATATTGTTCAAAATTACTTATTCTTTGCTATATACGGTCCAGACCTTTATGATTTAAAATGTTCCGTGTCCTTAGGAGGCTAACTATAATTCAGCAGCAGCTGTTTGACTTCAGAAAAGAATATTCTATTACCTAAAGCATCATACTTTAGTGGTAAGACTGTTATTTTTCTCAGATTTATATGCAAACTACAAACACAGTGATTCTCTTCAGCGGTGTAAAAGTGCTGAATGCCCTTAGTTTGAATTGAGTGTCTGGGCAGTTTAAGAATGCTACAGCCAAAAATATGGCACCTAGAGTTCAGGACAGCTGTGACATCAGAGGTCCATCTCAGAGGGAGAGACTGAAAGTTACTGCTGATTCCCGGAGATCAGAATGCATTTAAATATTTTCCATTGTAGCCCTCATCTTATTTTCAGGTGTATCCACATAGTAATGAATAAAAAAGCAGCTTGCAAGACATGGTACCATATCTCAGTGGAGTCAACTGACAACCTCTCATTACCCCCCAGGTCTGATACTTTTGGCATTCAGTCCTCGTTCAGGGAAGAACTCAAGCAACATTTAACTTTGAGCATAAAAGTTATTCAAAGGAATTCTCAAAACAAGACCTTACTGACTGTTCTTGCTCAGGTTTTGCAGTTGTATCTGTCCTTTGCAGGCTGACTAAACTTATCCCCTCGAAACCCCACTTAAAAGCACAGATGGCCTCAGTCCTCATCAGTACAAGTTCAGAAGATCTGTCTTGTGGCCCTTGGCCAAGCTGAGCCTTGGGTCATCAGCCCATTAGCTACCAAGGCATTTGTGACCCAGTCAGAGGAAAACTGAGCTGCATCCCAGGTTTATGGTTGCTGCTGGTTAACGAGACTTAAATTCTCATTTCTGTTTTGCTGTTCAGAGGTGACAAGTCCTGAACTGGCTTATCCTTACAATTACTTCTGCTCTGTGCTGTCTTCTGTGACATTTCAGCTGTTGCCCTGACCTCTCAAGAGATCCTGGTTGAAATCCTCCCGTGAAGGGGGCAACCTTTTGCGTGCGGTATTTTGGCAGTCCCTACTCAAAACCGTCTGCTGCTATTGATGTGCCTGCCAACATCGTGACCAGCCTGAAGAACAGAATAAACATAGGTTTCCCTGCAGAAAACCCAGTTCCTACTGCACCATTTTATGCTAGTACCTCAGCACTTTCTAGTTGATCATACTGGATGATATTTTGATCCCAAAAAGTTACCTGTAGATAATGAGTATTGTCATTTTCTCATTCCTGTATTTTATTTCTTTGTGCGGAACATGGAGACACACAAATCAATGAGCAGTTTGTATTTGTTGAATCCATTCTTCTGAAGAATACAGAGAAAGAAAACTATCCTATGGATCATAAATCTTCCCTGAGAGAAAGAATTTCTCCAGCCGTGACATTTGTCAGAACAAGTTATGAAACAGATTTCTTACATAAAAAGGAATTTCTGGAAAATTACTAAAAGTCTTTGATCACAGAGTCCCCTATTTCTCAGCCTTGGGATTATGTATTGCCTCTGATGATGTTGCATAAAGGTCATAGTGACCAAAGTACCTACAATGTTTACATGACTTATTCCAGGGAAAATTATGGAAATGGGAAGTTGAGAATTTTGTACTGAGTGAGAGCTATTTGTTTGCTTTGAAAACAGCAGTGGGAATGTTGATTTTTGTATGTTAATTAATGTTCTGCAGATCCACATAATACTGGGACATACCAGACATTGATTTTAATCTCAGAGGACACCACGTCTTGTCCTAGCTAAGGGCATAAAACATAGGTGTTGCCATTTCAGCAAACCCGGTAGAACAGAGTAGCTTAATTTCAGAAAGAGGTGATGATTGCAGTGAAAATAAGTTAAACTGAGAGAAATGGAGAGGAGGAGGGAGTCTGAGAGATTTACAAAAGTAAAGGAATAGAACAAAGAAGTTGCTGCTAAACAAATGGAAGCACTTGCCAATAGTGAAGTTATATTAGTTAAGTTTAGTTGAAAAAATTGAAGTGTTCCAGTACCTAAAGGGGGCTACTAGAAGGCAGGAGTGGGGCTTTCTACAAAAGCACGTAGGGAACAAGTGGGAATGTTTTCAGAGGGTAGAATTAGATTGGGTATTAGGAAGAAATTCCTCACTGTGAGGGTGGTAAAACACTGGAACAGGTTGCCTGGAGAAGCTGTAACTACCCCATCCCTGGAAGTGTTCAAGGCCACTTTGAATGGGGCTTGGAGCAACCTGGTCTAGTGGGAGGTGTCCCTGCCCATGGCAGGGGAATGGAATGAGGTGAGCTTTAAGGTCCCTTCCAACCCAAACCACTCTATGGTGCTATGATTCTTTGTGTGGAAACATGTAATTTCTTCAACACCTCTGTATTCAAAGTTCCTGCAGCGCAGATATTGCCAGCCAGTGGTCACTTATTCTGTCTGACAGGAATAGCTTGTGGATCAGTGCATTAGTACAAAGAGTTTTTACTCAGTCACACAGACTTTTTTCATCTCATTGCCCTACATCATATTGTAAAGAAAAAAAAAACACAAACCTGAACATGTAATCTATGGCCGAGAAAGGCCAAAGGATCTTCTGCTTTTCTCCCTTTGCAGCAGACATTATCACTAATTGGTTGGTCAGTGTAGCATTGCCCTGGATGTTCATGGACTTGAACCAAATGCTGCTGGTCTTATGGTGTCAGGCTGCTCTGCCTTTGGTTCACATTTTCCAGTCTGCACAGGGGAAGCCGAGAGGGAAGGTCTCCGTGTGAGGAGTACAGGGCCTGGTCCCGTGAGCCTTTCTCCTTGGTTTCGTAGTTTAGCACATTAGATGGCTGCCTGGTTGCACAATTGCTGTTAGGGATTGGAAGCAGCAGGAATTGCAGGTGCTTACAAGGGCACATATGCTCTGCTGCCAGTCCTCTTTTGTGGGAAAAAAAAAAATCTGTGTGATGTCTTAGTCATGTATTGGGGATATTTCAAGCCATGATTCATTTCACAAACTTGATTTAATCTGGCATTTCTTTAACTTTTTTTTTTTCCCCCAGAAAGAGCTACTTTGAAACCAGCTCACTCTCTGACAGCCTACTGTTTCTAGGGTATATACCAAACAGCAGGAGACATCTCTTTAAGAGCTAATGACCCATTTGGGAGACTTTACAAATTAGGTAATAACCAGTTGGAGGAGTTAGAAGGCCAAGGTAAAGCCAGGGGAAGTTAATGGGGTAGGCTGCCATTACCTAAATTACATACTCTGATGAAAAGATCATTAATGTTATTATAAGCCGTTTTTAATTAATGAAAAATGTAGCGATTTGCTTTCTCAATGTTGGTAACTTTGAAAGATGCAGTTTTACCAGTGTACCAGACCAGATTTTCAATAGTGCCACAATGAAAAGATTAGTTTGCTCTGTAGAGCACCGGGATCGATATTAACAGTGTTCTTGATATAGCAGAAATAGAGTCTTTCAATTTAAAGCAAATGTTTCCAAGGTTTCATTTGTGAAATCACAATGATATTTTTTTGGATGTAATGGGATAGTTCATAAAGCACTGATGGCTGTCTATTAGAATAGTAAATATTTAGCATTTCTATATTCACTTTCATCCTGGAAGCTCTCCAAATGCTTTAGTAACTAGAAAAATAATTATTTTAGTCACCGTGGAATAAACCCAATAGATATTTAACAGCACACAGAAATAGTGTCTAACACCCTGGGGCAGAAATTGCACAAAAGAATTAAGGGCAGTTAAATATATTTCTTGTGTTTCACCGAAACATCAATATTTGGAGAAAACACCTCAAGAAAATAATGACCAAAACCTGTGGCTCCTATGATTACTTTCCGATGGGTACACCCAATTTTTCATTGCAGCAATGTCTGAGGAGCCCCTGTCCAAGCCTGACTTGTGGTGCACCCATTGTAACCCCCCCCACACTCTGTTGTGATTTTAGTGTACAGCCAAAATGGACAAACAAGCAGAGGACTGAAGAAAGGAGAGGTGATGGTCCCTCACTTCAAAAAGGGAAAGAGAGATGGAGAAAAGCAAAATGGTCAAGACTTTTTTTTGTTCTTCAGAAGACAGCTCAGTGTCACTTTATGAAGAGAACAGTGAGCAGGGAGTATGTTGAAGAGCTGCCACAGAGTCAGGAGAACAGCCAAGGGAAGGATCCAGGGAGCTCCAGCTCCAGGATCGTGTAATTTAGGGTTCTGGAGACAGTAACTAGTTTTCCAGTTTGCTGTGAAGATTAGATGGTCAATATTTACACAGCTTTGAAAATTAAACTGTTAATTATTTTTGTTATGCTGTGCACCATTAATATTTGCATCCATAGTGGGGAGTAGGAAAGGGCAGGCTTTGAATGCCATTGCTACCACAGTGACGACTAAGAGTGGACTAAAGCCAACAGAAACAAAAGGAAAGCCAAAGACTTAGGTGTTTCTGAAGAAAGTGTTTTTTAGGGTTTTTTTTGTCAGCTGAGCATATGGAGCTGGTTCCTTCACGGAGGCAAGCTGGCCTGCTGCCGGCAAAGGCAGCTGATTTTAGACAGCTGAAGCCTGCAGGAGGGAGGCTGGAGTGGGAACTGTTTAATGCTGGTTTTCCCTCGGCCTGTGACTTCACCTGACCCCTCTGCTCACCTGCAGGAAGCAGGCCTGGTGGGAGACTTCAGGGCAGTCCTTCTTTCTGGCATGAGTGCCAAGCTGGCCATCTTAGCTCGTAACCTTCGCAACACATCAGTGATGCGTTCATTTTCAGGAACATGGGCAAAGCCATTTTTTCATGGTCAGTAAGCAATCCCCACATTTCTCTCAGTAGATCCCACGTTGTATTGGTGGGAAGTCCTCCATTACAGGAACTAATCTGGGGACTGGTACCACCTTTCCCCAATTTATCCAAGTTGTCCTGTCTTTGTTATATTACAACATATTTACCAGTGGCTCATCTCATCGCCCTTATTTTACATGCTCCCTTCAGATCCCTCAGGGCTGTGTCCTGATTTTGTAGCTGCTTGCCAAAGAGCTTTTCCAAAGAGCACTGCTCACAGGGAAAACACCTTCCAAGCAGACCCTTTCTCCCCTGCATCACCACCACGGGGAGGCTTGGCTCTGCAAATCATCCATACCCTGATGTTAAGCATCACCTTCTCTGCAGGGGAGGAAGGCCAGCTGTTCAGCAGCTACCCTGAGTTCACCCTTAGCCCAGGCTTTGCTTGTGATGAAACTCTACTTTCTCTCCAGAAATCCAAATGTGGCCAGTAAGTTTAGAAAGAAGAAAAAGAAGTCAAGCCCATGTCTGCTTGCCTGGTTTAACTCAGGTCTGAGGGATGTCCTTTTCCCTGTACTTTGCCACCTATCAAGTTGACAGCATGTCTCCAATTTTTTGAATGTTGCTGTTTTCCTTTGCTGTAGAGCATCTTTAACAGAAGGGGAGGGTATGTTACAGGCATCTGTGCAATTGCAAAGCCCAAACATTTCCTGGGGATGCCTTGTGATTTCGGTAGCTATAACTCCCTCCTTTGCATCTGGACCTTTATAAACAATCACTCAAGTAAGAAATTGGTTTTATACTTTTTGTTGAGGTATAATACTCTTCCTGGCTTAATTTTTAGATATTTAATGTCCCTTTGGTCTTCTGCAGACAGTGAGTTGCTGGTTACTGGGCTGTGCTTAAACAAAAGGTAATCTGTGCTGGGAATCCAGCAAACCCATGTAGTGGGACTCAAACTCCTTCATTATACCCTGAAATTTTAATAATAAATCAATGACTACGGATTATATAGATTGTACAGCAGGATATGCAAAACATACATGTGCAGTAAATCTGCATACTTGTGACTGGCCCATGTTTTAGGCTGAGCATCATAGCAGTGAGTTGCTTTGTTTTGGTAATGGCATTGTGGAGGTTGGGAACTTTCCTAGACATAAAGGGATGCCATGGTACCTACCGCTTATTGACAGCTAAGAGACAAGGTTGCTTCTGTACCTGCTACCTCACATAACAAGAATTTATGGAATCACCTCAGGCTGTCCTTGTCAATTATCATCATCATTATTTCTGTGTTTAAAAAACAAGACCGAGTTCTTGCAGGCGTTCATCCAAAAAGTGCTGTGGTGGTGCAGTCTCCATGACGGAGCCTTAGCTGACACCTTATCAGGTAAATTCTTGAGATTTAGGAATGAAAATAAATATATGTGTGCTGCATTGCTGTTCTTTGTTTGGTGGTGCTCTTCCTCTGAGGTGGAGGGTGGGGGACTGGGAAATCAGCCGATAGGTGTGTGTGTGCACATAATGAATTTGGAGATAAACCATAATAACTTCTTGCCAACTAACTGTGGCCCTTTGTTTAAGACATCTGCCACTGCTATAGTGTTTTGTATATCCATCTTCATCATCTACAAGAGACTGTAGCAAGGTAGAAATAGTCCCTGACATATCTGGGAGACTGCTAAAGTAAAACAAAGTTTTCCCCAGGTCTCATTATGTGATATGATCAAACCAGGGCAGCTGAGCAAGCCTTCCCTCCTGGGGTGGTCTCCTTCTGCACAGCCATGAGTCCTCCCTCTCCGCTGTACCAGTACAAGAAGTCTGGGAAAAGTCACAGCATAAAAATGTAGATTTAGTGATGCTTATCTTTAAAGCCAGAAGAGTAGCAGCCTGATGTTCCCATCCCTTCCACACCTGCCATACTCATTTAAAAAAAGATCAGGAACCCAACCTGTCTTCTTTCCGTAGCTGCTGAAAGCAAAGTTCCTTTTGAAGCCTGATCTACTTAGTGGTAAACTTGGATAGTGATCCTTCTGACATGAATAAGAATAATAAAAGGGACTGATTAAGAGCTTAGATCTTGGCTGTATGTGAAGTGAGGGAAAACAAAGCATCCCACTAGTTGGAGCTCAAGATTCACTGAAGTTTTAAAGCCCTTCTCCATCCATGGGTAATAGACTTGCCTTTGATCTTGATGGTCAAGATACCTGACAAGAGTTTTCATTAATGAAATAAGACAACAGTGATCAGTTCTGTCTGCAACTGAATAATAATTCTGGTCTAGGGAGAGAAAAGTGTCTGGTTTCCCTGTTCACCATGACCTTCACATAAGACTTGTGAGAGTGATGAAGTTGAATTAAGCAAAAGTGGGAAT